TTGAGTTCACAATGAGATCTCTGGCATTTGATTGTAGACTTTGGTATCTTGGTGAACACATATGAGTGCCCTTTTAAAACGGCCTGTTTCTGCATGAATTCATGCTTTGGGACAGCACTACAAATGGTTGAGCCCTATATAGGCTATATGGGGCAATTTCAGACACAGCCACAGTCTTAACATAGTGACTACGTTTATGGAACTGGTTAATTGAGTACAATTTTTAATCTGGCTACATTATAGGGGTCATATGATGCGATTTCAATTTTTCCTTTCTCTTTGAAGTGTTACAAGCTCTTGGTGCATAAAGAAGATCTGTAAAGTTGCAAAGACTAAAGTCTCAAATCCAAAGAGATATTCTTTATATAAGTTAAGAGTCAACCACGCCTACCTAAAATGGCTCGTTCTAACACGCCCCCACATACCTACGTCACGATGTGGGAAGATTTGCATAACACAGCCCAAATGTTCACGCAAAGAAAGAAGGCGAAGGTCGAATCCGTCGAGGTATTCGGCCAATCACAACGCATTGGATAGCTGGCCAATCAGAGCACACCTCCGCTTTTCAGACCGATGAGCTTTGTAAAAATCGACGCGTTTCAGAAAGGCAGGGCATAGAGGAGAAACGATAATGTACAATATGTGGAAAATAATGTTTTTTCTTAACCTTAAACCGCATAAACACATTGCATTACACCAAATACACAAAATAATGTTCTTTTTAGCAACATCACATGACCCCTTTAAGTTAATTCCCAACACTTCAAGTTACTCCCATCTCATTGGTTGTTTCTGTTTGTTGCACATGCAGCAGCATTTATATCTCCCTTAAATGTAACGTAATCATCCTTCTATAACATCAAGCATTTTAGTCACTTCAGTTTTAGTTGAAATAATTAACCTCTAATATCTTACGTCAGCTACTTAGATAAAATATGAATAAAAAAGCATTAAAAAAAAGGTGTAAAAACACTGTTACACTATTAACAGCTAACTTCTTTTACGCTTGATCTCATCCTCAGTCAGAATCTTCCGGAAGGTGTTTCCCTCGTGCTTCACCACACAAACATACTAGTTCTTCTTCCAGTCGTCTGGAGGAACACTGAGGATAGCAGTCTTCTGGAAGGTCCCATCCTCATTTGGCAGTGTTTCTTCAAGATCTAAATCCTCATCGTGGTGAACCTGTCCATTTCTTAACCAGGTAAGAGTCATTGCTGATGGATAGAAACCTGTGGCATGACACACTACTGGAGATGAAGAACCCTTCTGTAACAGAGACACTTCAGGAACTACAAAAAGATAAATGTGAGGAACATATTACTACTTCAGATCAGTTAAATGAATCTACATTTTGTTTTAATGAAGCAGAAACACAAGAGAGAGACACAAACAACTCATTGATTCCAATAAAACATTTGCCAACTTGTTGAACAAAGCAAATTTCTCAAAGACAAGCTACCTCTTCTCTCTAAATCCACTTTCCTCAACGTCAAGAAATGTTTTAACCAGTAAGTTTTAACCAAACCCTTCTGAAGCTCCAGTCTGATCATCCCAATCACATCCATACGTCCTCTGATACGTATGAACACCTGAAGAAGAAAAGGAGATACCATAAGATCTGCTCCTTTTTAATGTATAAGATGTTCTTTGACATTTGAAACTGTAGCATAAAGTATTGTAACTCACCATGTGACTGATTGAATCACTCTATTAGAACATGAATATTGTTTTTGTAGATCTGCTGTACTTGTTCTCTGATCTCAGTGTCTTCTTTCCACGTGTCTGTAGATGCAAACTCCTTCATCCAGTCCTGTCTGGGAATCAGCTTCTTTATCTCACTGTCATAATAATCAATCTGTCGTCCATCCAGAGTAGTTACAGCAGAAAACTCCCAGAATCCCAGAAATTGGGATTCCTCTAATTGCATGACTATTTATTCCAGTGTATGTAGATATGTAGGTGTGAAACTCTGAACAAACAAAGACATAAAGCTCTCAAACACATTAAAACAACTGCCTGAGTCATTCAGTTTTTTTTCTTTTAATTTCAAATCAATACTTCTGCAGTTTCATCAGCTTTACAATTCAAAATTCTCACTATGAAAACGGTTTTGATATTGCATTACAATGGAAATGATACTTTAAAACCTTTTTGAGGGCTCCGTTTTTGTGATATTAACTTTAAATTTGAAGCATCACTTGCTTAGATATACTGTATATGGCTTTGATTTTATAGCATTTTGTGAGAGCAAGTATTATTATTTTACAATTACACAATTATTATTTTATAAAAAAATATGTAGTTCAGTACATTTGCTTTACAGTAAAATTATACTTCTAGAACTTTTTTAACACTTTCATTTTTAAGTGCGTTTAGAGTGTCTTCTTTAAAAAGACAGCCTTATAAGTTCAGATCTGTTTACAAAAAATGGGGGATGACAGTTAACCTGTTAAATTACATGAAAATGTTCATATCTTAAGTTATTCATAAGATAAAAAATAAACTAAAACTAGAAAATATTAAAAAATATTAATTGATTTAGTTTTCAGAAAACTTTACATTAGATTAAAAACACCACATGCTTTTCTGTCAGTTGAACCAACATTACAAACAAAAATGTAAATGCAAACTAAACATATATAAAAAGCTTAATCAATATATTAATAAAACTAAAGCAACACAGAGTTCAACACGGAAGTAGCTAAAGACTTTGCTGACAGAGAAATCTTTCCATTTAATGCCATGTCAGCTTCAATGGCTAGAGAATTTAACCTTTAATTTATGATATGAAATGAATCTCACCTGAGTAAACAAAAGGTGCATCGATGAAGAAAATTATGAACTTCATTGCAGACAAAAATCCATGCAATTGACTCTCAAACAGGTGTAGTCGTCAAAGAGCGCTGCAAAAACTCCAGACTTCAGCACAATTGAAAGAAGTGGTTACTCAAGGTAGTTACAGAATATAATACAGATTTTTAGGTTCAGTTGATGTTGCTTCATTCAGTATCCTTTTTTAAAATGATTTATGATAACACTTTATGTTGATAGCCCACTTTAGACATACTAGCTATAAGTAACTTTGCAACTACCAGTCATTGGTAGTTGCAAATGAATAAATAATTATATCACAATCTTATATCACTTTTCCTTTACATCATTAAAGTGTTAAACAGAGAAATATAAAAGCAGAAACAACAGTTGTCCACAACATTGTTTTCATACACAGAAACTGGCCAACTCACAGCAAACCCCGCAAGACCATCTTGGTCAACCACTTTCACAATAAAGACCATGCTGGTCAACCAGGCTACATTTTTCTTGAGAACAGCATGACTAACTTGCCAACTAACCTGCATGAACCAGCCTAGACCAGCAGCCTCATTTTGACTCACAAACAGAGCTGATCACTCTATATTCAGTGAATCACTTGTGTTATTGCCTGTGAGTACACAAGAAAATTAAACACTGAAAGGTAATGAGAACAGTAGTCTGTAAATCTGATTTATTCAGTTGAAAATAAAATCAATTTCTATTTGGCTGCCTCTGAGATTTGATCTTGTGAAAATTTGACTCTTTGATTTCATAACGAATCAATTTGCTGTTGATTGCAGACTTTGGTATTTTGGTGAATTTGAGCAAAACAACTCTTGAAACTCTAGTTGAACTTGAAACACATGTGAGTTTACCTTCATCTTCTGTTTGTTGGAATTCAAGGTCTGTTATGATGCACTTACACAATATACTTTTCTCATATTTTAACTGTACAAAACGTATATAACAGAAACAAGGCTTAAAAAATACATAGTTTTTTCAGCTGCAGAATCATTATTTCTGTTACAAACATGTAAAAGGGATACAAGTTTATGGTTTGTATATAAACACTGATTTCATTGGTAGTGATCATATAGAGTAAACTATGTATTATTTTGTTTAGTTGTCTATTTTTTCCCCCCAGAATCGTGGAACCATCATGATCTATATTTAAAAAAACAAAAACAAACAAGCTTTTCAGTTTAATAATATTCAGCAAAATTACTGATTTGACTGTGCTGATACTGAATGAGAACTGAGCTGGATGATGACATCACCGTTTTGCTTTATTGCTAAAATGAACTCATTTGATAACGAACTTTACATGGTTTATACATCAATGATGACTTCAGCTTCCAAGAACCGCATGTGAAAAGCGTCCATATGGGAAAACAAACTCTTTGCATTACTATGCAGCATTCAGTACATTAATAAAAATAGATAATGTTTTATCTGTATATGTGCTTTTCTCTCGACATTTTTGCAGATATAAAAATATAACGATGTTATAAGAAGACGCTTAATGATGTTTACAAATAATGTTTAAAATAATGTTTCAATAAGATAAAACTGTACATGCTGTGCACTGCTGAACCTCTGTATTCACCCAGGAGGCACTGGACATAATAAATGCAATAAAACATGCAGAGACTCTTGAACCTCAGAGTGAGAAAACTTTATTGATAAAGGCAAGCAAATACAGATGACAAACAGACAGAAAAGTGACATCTGTGTGTCTTATCTGAGAGAAATATAAACAATAAGCCATTCAAACTGGATCAATAATAACATTAGAAGACAGTAACATTTTAAAAGCCCTTAAACCCTGAATCAAATATGAAGTCTTTATTAAAAAAAGAAAAGAAAAGCCTGTTGTACTTAAAATTATAAGCAAAGCAATTTTGGTAATCTGTATTTAAAATGACAAACCCCACAAAACACACTTGAAGAAGCTATAAAATTCAGCGTCTCCTTTAGATTTCAATACTTCCTGAAAAAGATGAACATATAAATTAATAAACTGCACAAATACTTAGAAATGCAAAAACATTTTTGGAGAAATTACATCAATCATGTACCTGGTGTGTGAATCTGTGCTTGATCTTGTTCAGCTCTTCTGGATCTGATGTCATGAACCAGAAGAATGACAGTAGCCACGCCCACCAGAGCAGAGAGGACCAATCGGATCACAGCTTCAGTAGAACCACAACAGTGGACAGAGTCTGAGGAATAAAAACATCAAACTGAGATCAGCTCAGTCAATAAACGTTAATATCTAGAATATTTGAAGGACGGGGCAAATGATCTCTACTCACCATAGACTGAAACACTGAAAGCTTTTAATGACTTGCTTAGATTTAAATATTCTGGTCCATTTATCAGTAGTAAATAACGCCCAGAATCTTCAGTTGTGATGTTTGTGATGGTCAGAGATCCAGTTTGATTGTCCAGCTCCAGTCTGTCTCTGAATCTCCCATCAAGAACATCCTCATATACAGTGAAACTGTTGTCCTGTTTAGAGATGTCAGCTATTAAAGTGATCTCGTCTCCAAAAACCCAATGAATCAAAAAAACATCTCTTATTTCAGTAAGACCAGAGTTTAGAGTGACTGAATCTCCCTCCTTCACTGATATTTCATCTGGATCACCAAACACACAAAGAGAACAAACAGAAAGAGGGTTAGTCACAAGTTAGTACTGTAAAAATGACTTATATTTGTTTACGTATGTAATTAGTTTGAAATTTAATTTTCAAATAAATAATGATATAAAACAACAGAACAGACACAACAGAAGCAATTTAATTAATTTTGTATCTGGTGATGAAGAAATAAAACAGGTGGAACAAATATTTAACTCACCATAGACAGCGAGAATGAAAGTTATGACCATACGGTTAATGTCTACTCTATAAATTCCACTGTGTTCAGCTGTAAAATTTATAACGGTCAGAGATCCAGTTTGATTGTCCAGCTTCAGTCTGTCTCTGAATCTCCCATCAAGAACATCCTCATATACAGTCATGCTGTCGGACCATTTATTGATTTCAACGATTACAACTCCCGGAATTCCAAACCACCACTGAATCTGATCATCATCCATTATTTCAGTAAGACCAGAGTTTAGAGTGACTGAATCTCCCTCCTTCATTGATATTTCATCTGTATCACCAAACACACAGAAAACAAACAGAAAACAAACAGAAACAGGGTTCATCACAGATTCAAAGTGTTACTTGATGGCTTACTGAAATAAATAGATAGAAATTTTAATTTGAAATGAATGCTATCATGAAATAACAGAAATGGTGTTTGGATAATAACTGTATCTTTGTGCCGATTCTGTGTCTACACCGGACGCGACAGTTGTTGTGTCGCGCCGCGCGGCAACAAAGTCTGTCTACACTGGACAAAGTGATCATTGCAAATCCTTTGAACTTTGTGTCAGTACGTCATAAATAGAACGAGGCATTAGTTTACTGTCGGGGATTTGTCATGGATTTGCATCCAGTGTAGACAGCATCACTAATTATATTGGGTTCTATCAGTGCTTGAAGTGGAAAAAAGAAGTGCAGTTACTCCCCCCTCCCCCCTTCTTATTTATTTATTTAAATATTAACCCTCCTATTACCCAAGGGGAATTTGACCCCATTCAATGCTTAACATCTGTAAATATGACTGACACCTTTTCAATGTCCTCTACACATTTTGTAGCATCAATTTGACCCCAGGCACTTTTAGCTGTATAAAACATAAGAAATATCAACATTTTACATACATTTGTTTTGGTTGTTTTTGGGTGATATTGGTCACTGTGAGATGCTATAATTTAATAAAATTCACTATAATTTTAGATAATCAGTATAATATTCAAAAAACATAATTCTTGTGGTTTACAGGGGGGAGCAAACATATAAAAGCTTACACAGAAGCGTTCTAAACCATTTCTCTTTGTGCTCTGTGGGCTCTCTCTTTATGCTCACTCTCTCTCTCTATTAAAAATTGCCTCTAAGCAAAGGTTTTCTGTCAAAGATATTTTGTCACAGTTTTTTGACAGTGAAATTGAATGTGTCTGAGACAGACGATAATGTTGAGGAGGGCACTGATTATGAGGCATCCTCCTCAGATGAGAATGAGACTCCTCCTGCCGTCTCTCAACCACCAGCAGACACATCACCTTCCAAAAATGGAAAGTTATCATGGTCCCGCTAACCACTTGAATGACAGGGTAAGCTTAGTGCTGCTAACGTCATCAAAATGGTTCCAGGGCCCACCAGATATGTTGTCAGCCATGTGCAATATATAAAAACAGCTTTTGAGACTAAATCTAGTTAGGAGGGTGTATGGGGACAGTTAGAAAGACGTTGATGTGACTGACTTGCAAGCCTACATTAGGTTGCTCATTTTGGCAGGAGTGTACAAGTCAAAAGGAGAAGCAAGCCTTTGGAATGCTGACACTGGAAGGTCAATATTTCCAGCCACTATGTCTCTACAGACATTTCATGTTTTCTCCCATGTCATACAATTTGATTACAAAAAAACAAGACAGGGTCGACGAGAGCGTGACAAACTCGCAGCAATACAGGATGTATAGGACAAGTGGGTCCAGCAACTACCATTTCTCTACAATCCAGGCCCCCACATCACTGTGGATGAATGTCTGGTTCCATTTCATGACTGCTGTCTCTTCAGACAATACATGCCAAGCAAATCAGCCAAATATGGCATAAAAATATGGGCCGCATGTGATGCACAGCCCATCTATGCCTGGAATATGCAGGTGTACACTGATAAATCCACTGGACAAGCACCTGAAGAAAAAAAAAAAAACAGGGCATGAGGATTGTACCTGTTTGCTGGTGTTTGACCCTGCCTGTTTTGACCATTCTTGTGAATAAAAGCTGCATTTGGATCCTCAACTCCATTGTCACGCCTCCCACGTTACATTGAGGAACACATCACTCCTGCAGTATCTCCCACTCCAGAGTATCTTCCCAAGATGGCTGCCAGTCCAGCGAATGTTCACGAAATGGCTGCCAGCTCAGAGACTTAACACAAAATTGGCTGCCGTTCCAGAGTCTCGTCCCATCATGGCCGCCATTCCAGAGTCTTGTCACGTCACAGCTGTCATCTCAGAGTCAATGCAAGTCACAGCCCATTGAGATCTTATGGTGATTTGCAAATTTGTCCATCATGCAATAAGTATTCTGGATGTATAATCTGGAGTGTGGGTGTGTGTGTGTGTGTGTGAGGGGGGAGGTTATTTAAAGGCCTATTTAAGTAGTCAACAAAGACATAAATGACCTGATACAAATCTTTTACTAAAAATAAATAAATAAATAAAATATTCTGGAGGTTTAAATTGCTGTGGTTGTGGGGAAAAGGTGTTATCAAAGTTTAGGGTAACAGGAAGGTTAAATAAATAAGTACTTTTCATAATTCACAATGTATGTATAGTTCCTCCAATCAATCAATCAATCAATCAATCAATCATTCATTAAACATTTTCAATACAAATAAGAAAGTAAATCTGCGATACCAAACAGGACTACAAGGAGACGCCAAAGACCACTAAACCGCCTGCCTGTACTAATACGGATCCATTCAGAATCACTAAACCACTGACCACCATATAATCTAAAACACCTTCAGCCAGCATCCATTATAAAATACTCTTGCTTTTAAGCCAAACACATTCTGAAAAGAATAATTTATTAACATCTGGACGTAAGTCACTATTCTCTCCACTATCTCTGATAAAATCGGCTGTGTTTTCTCTGCATTAGCGCTGTTTTGTACTTACTGTTTGCTTACTGGATCCTTACTTTCCAGTTTACCGGTTTAAAATGACGTGATCGAAAAAACCTGCTTCCTTTAATTTTTTAAGGTATTGTTTTCGTAATTTACTGATTCACATTAGTAATCAATAATGAATTATTATTCTACAACTCCCCTGACATGCTGTGCCCCACACATTGAAAACCCCTGAAACTGTCTCCGCTTGCATTAATTCATGTGATGAGAGGTGACCCCGCCTGGTAGTGTGATTTATATAGTGTCATTTCTAATCTCCCAGACACTGCCGCTTTGACTCTGAGTACCGGCAACATGTCAGAAGTGCCGGTATGCACGAAAAAGTGCCGGTATTCTTCCGGTACTGCGTACCGGTGCGTACCAGCCCACTTCAAGCACTAGGTATTTTGTCGTGTCGCGCCGCTCGCGTCCGGTGTATACACGGTGTCAACCATTGGCCCAACAACAGAATCCAACAGTATTGCACTTCTGCAAAGTTAATTTAATTTGTAATAGTTTAGTTCCAATTTCACTATAGCTCAGTATTTAATCTGAACCCAATGTCAAATGACTCTAAAATTTAAAATAGACTGATATTAATTTTAGTGTTGATATTAATTTGGGTATTTGATTATTCTAGTATTCCCGGCTTATTCTTTTGTTATTCGCTCATTTATGGGCTCATATTCGTTCATCTGTGAAAGCTCTTAAAATATAAAATTAAAATATAAAACAATTGAAACAATTATTTAACCCACCATAGACTTGGAGATTGAAAACTTCTCTCATACTGTTGGTCTCTAGTTGATACTTTCCAGTATGTTCAGGTCTGGTGTTTGTGATGGTCAGAGATCCAGTTTGTTTGTTCAGCTTCAGTCTGTCTCTGAATCTCCCATCAAGAACATCATCAAATACAGTCATGCTGTCAGCCGTTACATTAATGTCGATTAAAGTGTTTTTATATTCAAATATCCACTGAATCTCATCATCCATCATTTCAGTTAGACCAGAGTTTAGAGTGACTGAATCTCCCTTCTTCACTGACAAAAACTCACCAAACACACCTGAAGAGTTTTTCACATAATAAAGCTTTAAAATCATTTCATGTTGGTTTGATGAAGTTTCACTTTTTTTTTTGTTTTTTTTTTTGGGCATAATAAAATAAAACCTGTTGCTGCATTCACCTCTTTTAAAAGATAAATACTTTAACTAGATTTAGTCTGTTTGTTCTTCCCTTGTATTTAAAATATTTAAAGATAAGATATTTTACTCATATTTTGATGGTTTAATCAAACTTGTAGAGTCATTAAAAACAAATCCTCAAACAAATCCCCCCCCCAGAAATCACTTTTGTAATAATAAAAAAATAATGCTTTTACTTTAATCGTTAATGTCAAACTAATGCTGTTGGGTATCTGAGCTTTTTTTTTTTTAATAGACCTGAATTTAAACTTGATCTCAAAGTAAAATCACAGTTCAATTATTTCTCAATTAGAATAACAGTGAATGTAGATCCTCTCTCACTAATGTAACCAGTAATTTATTACATGGTACCAGAACAGAATCAACTGAAATCACAAAAGCAAGTTTCAGACTCACCAACCGGACGCCACAAACACAAACAGAACCAAAATTGGTCAAACATCTTCAACAGTTTCAGTCCACAAATATGAAAAGATAAACACTTCAAAACTGGTTCAGTAATAAAGTGACAGATGAGCTGATGTGAGGCTGATCTATTGTAAAGTGATGTGAAACTACTGTCAGCTAAAATAACTGCATATCTTTGACAGCATTGATGTGTGTGACCAATGACTGTTCTGTTTGTTTTTGCTGATTATTTTACACTCTGAAGTGTCACTGTACGCTCCAGGCTTCCTGTAGATCCTGTTTGATGGTGTAATTTTCAAAAGTGTCCTGTGAAGTTCTCATATGTTACTTCAGTGAGCTTTAAACCAGTATTATTTTAGAATATTTGAGATACTATTACATTTTAACCCTTTAAGCCCTGAGGGTATTTTTGCCTCACTGAAGTTGATGTTTTTTCTGAGTGACACACAAAAATAATGACTCATAACTCGAACATTGTAGCAAGGAGAGTCAAAAAGTTGATATCGTTTGATAGAAAACTTTCTGTACTTTCAATTATTTCATTTGGACATTCTCCTGCTGAGAAATAGCTGATAAAATTGTAAGAAAAATTTGAGTGCTCAAGATACATTTTTCATATGTCTTATTTGACATTTAATATCTCAGGACAGACATAAGGTAGGAGGATGATGATGTTCCCAGCATGTTAGCTGTACCTGTGTCGTTTTGTGGTGATAGCATAAACTACCCAAAAGTTACTTTGCATTTGAATATTCTCATCTTGAGAAATAGGTGATAAAATGTAAGAAAAATTAATGTCGCCAAGGGAAATTTTTCATATCATTCTTACTTGATGTTCAATATCTCATGAAAGAACTGAAAGAAATGTTCCCCAGCATGCTGTAAGTGAATTCAATTTTGTAGTGATATCATGAAGTAATCAAAAGTTCAGTCAGCATTTGGAACCAAGGTAGCCCTTCTCCTTAGCCCTTTACAGTTTTGAAATTGTTGTTTTGAATTTGAAGTAATGCCTCACTCAAGTTTAGTCAAAGCCCCAAACAATTATACTTGTTTTATTCTACTCGATGATACCTTTCAAATGACATATGCCACATTACTATCTGAGCTGTATGACGTTTGTGAGATATTAGAGTACATGGCACAAAAAACATTTTTCATTAATTACGATTTTTTTCTTTTTTATATTTATCCACAAACAACTCAGCACTACTTAGGAGTTAATCAAAGTGGCCACATGCATTGTAAAGGTCAAACTCAAAGCTTTCAAATGACACCTATTTTGTGTTGATGAAGGCATGATTATGATTATTTATGATGATTATTTATTTCTTCGCTAGGGGGCATCCTAAATCTACACTTCGCCACAGGACTGCTTTTTTTTTGCTAAGCTACGTCTTAATTATTTTCCATGTGTTATAGCTTTAAAGAAGATATCTTTAGATCTAAACGATGGATTATGGTGAGTTTGGGCTCTTTTTAATCGGGAGAATTTTCTGCGAATAATGACATGCCATTGTCTATGATATACAGGGCTGGGCTGCATTTCCCAAAAGCACGGTAAACTTAAGCTGATCGTAAAAACGATCGCACAAATCATCTTAGACTTGCGGACCGTATCCCAAAAGCATCGTAACTTAAGTAGTCCTTGAATATCTTCGTAGATCTACGAGTACTCTGGAGTAATCGTAAAGCCCTACATGCATCATAAGAAGACAGAATTATGAGGTCACCTGCAGGACAATCGGCAGATTACACCTTTAAATTTATTCAAGTGCAATGTGATTATAATTATAAACTTTTGATTGTACTTTATTGTACACTTTATCACTCTTTTTTTTTTAAACAATTTATAAATGAAATAATTAAAAAGGGCAGAAAAAAATAGAAATACACATCTAAAT